GGGGGCCCCCTTTTTCCCGGATACCCCCACGCACCCAAAAGGTCAAGTTGGGTAAATGGTAGTACTTTTATCTCTTTAATTATCTATAGAGCATGCAACTCAAAGATGCTTAGATGAACATGGTAGAAACATAAAGAAATTCACTGCATGAGTTAGCCAACAAGATACCTCTAAACTTGAATGGTTATAAAGTGCTTATACAAAAAGGCTTCCAATGTTATTTTATTGGAGAATAATTTCCTTTTCTTAGTTGGAAATATGAATCTAAGAGCTACCGAATTGACAGCACAACTATCAATTGCACAAAAAATACATGGCATCAATCAAGTATCCATCTTTTTATCAGAGAATTTATTTATTTTTTTGAAATAAAAATAAATAAATAAATTGGCTGATGCCTTTCCTCTTAAAAAATAATACTAAGGCTTAGCTACTTATTTGCTTGTCACTTTCACATGGAAATTGCATTATAGATGTAAATTCAGGCTGTGCCGTAATCTCAAAATTAAAATAAGAAATAAAAAATGCATTCACACGAATAATTAATTTTCTCAAAAATGAGAAAAAAAAATCAAGAGTTACTGAAACCACAAATATCATTTTCAGCTGAATCAAGTGAAGCAACTCCCATGAGAGACCAGCCCCACTACTTTACCGGAATCTTAGAGCAGTGGATAAGGTAGGCAAAATACTCTCACAAAAATCACCTTTCAAGAGAAATAATAACCAGAGAACAGAATGGAAGGTATAGAACGGAAGTATGCCAGAGACATTTTCCAATTTCAGGTCATAAACATACTACACGTTATCAACAAGCACATTGCAACTTATATACATGAAGCCAAACACTGTTTTGCATATCAAGAAGTAACATATATGAACTTACTGCTTTTCCATATTCATATGCTCTGTCCAAAAGATAAGAGTACTCCAAGTCTTCAAAGCATTTCTGAAGGGATGATATTGGTTCATTAAAGTAAACTGGGAGACAAACTCTAGTAAGATCTTTTCCAACGTTATCTTTGATCATAGACCAAAGACTAACCCCTTTCTCTTTTTCAACAGGATCAGGAAGCTTTTTTCGTCTTTCAATGTGTGGATATCCAGACTTACAATCTTGATTCTCAGTATGCATCTTCTCTGCATTACAAAATTGATTTCTGTCTCCTTTATGCTTCTCTGCATGATGACCAGTCCCAATCACAGACCCACAACTAACATTGGGTTCGGTAAAATACTCTTCTGTATCATAGAAGTAAGTTTCATCCTCATCAGACACATCCTCCAGCTCTTGTTTTTCAACATCATCAGATGATTCGGTAGTGCTGCATTCTAAGTCGCCAAAAAAAGCATGCAACGAAGTCAAAGAAGCAGGGCAAGAAGCTATTAACATCTTGAAAAATAAATAAATAGGGCAGAAACACACAGGAATCTGCGCACCAAAGCATGTAACTAAGCAAGAAATTCACATGCTCTCATTGCATAATAATACCAATTTTGTAATGTAGTCAAAACCAAAAAAAAAAAATTTTACTGTCATTTTAAGCTTTTGTAGAAATCAATATCAACATAGATTTGGTGACTATAAGAAAATCAAAAGTAAGTCTGTCTGAAATAAGTTTGATTTAGGAAATCATTCCATTTTTCTATAGAAAACTTATTTACGACATCCTGCTTACTCTTCTTTCAACAAATTCAAACTTCAGTACATGAAGAAAAAAAAAAACCAGAAAAGAAAGAACAATGAGAAGACCAGTTTTAAGATTTTTCATGTCCTAGGGACAACAAGATGATAAAAGCAAGAAAGTTACAATTATTTATTTTTCTTTTGACAGAGAAGATAATTAATTTGATCTACTCAGTTACCCAAATAGAAATTTCCAGCTGAGTTTCTTTTGCCTGACACAGTGAGGACACACGACTATGCATGCCCACAAAAAGTTTTAGATAATCTATACCACTATACTTTCCACGCCCTAGACTGGAAAACTCGTGCTTTCTCAGTTGGTAGTCACCATCATGAATCCTGATGCTCAGCTTCAATATTAGCTGCCTGTATGCACAAAAGACATTAATAAAATTAATCATGTCATAAAAAAGCTAGTGGTGGAAATACAATGCACTCAAAATAATTCTGAAAGGCCACAAAAGATACTAAACCAGTTACATAACTACAATCATTTGGTACCAAGTTGATTTATTACCAAACAAGTACTCATTATTATACAATTGCTAAACGCCATTTTGCTGCCAATAACTTCATGACTTGAAGACAATGCATGAACTGTCAAACTAAATCTTGAAATCATACTTTTTTTTAAATAAAAATCTTTCTCCATCCTTACTCCAATATGTAACAAGAAACAAATTAGAGAACTATAGGAACATAATTTGAGTACAATAAAAATGACCATGGGATGAGTCAGTAAATTTTTTAAACATCATTTATTTTTTTAAAAAAAATTCATTTGAATAGACTTCCTATGGAATTTATCCAAAGGCACGTAGAGAATCTGTGCCTTATTCCCTGGACCACACCAAATTTCTGTGCACTTATATTGGTTAATGTTCTATAGCACTAAAGAGTATCAAGGACTATAAAGATAGACAATAACAAATGGAATCATAAACAGAATCATTTGAAAGAGACATAATAGTCTTAAGCCTATATGAGCAAGAGATATCAGACACACATAAGAGACACTGTCTAAATGAATCCATAAATGTAAACTGCGAAAACCAATTAAAACAAGAATTATGTTACATCATCCGGGGACGTAGGACAAAAACCAAAATAGAAGAAAAAAATCACCACAGTTTTCATGAAGCAAGATGAAACACCGTACGGTATTTAAATTAGTTTATGCATCTGTCTACGTCATCAAGAAAACATCATTCTTTAATCTTTATATTGCCCAAGGCCATCAATACTTCACTAGAATAAGCATTTGAGTTCAATTAATTTCTACCTTTGGCAAACTCATTATCTTTATTTCTTGTTGTGCTTCTATAAGTTATTCTTAGGTGTTCTTTGCATACATTGTTTTGGTGTACCCTATGGTTATTTTTCACCAATGAAGTATTCCTAACCTTCAAAAGAAAAGTTAAGAGTACATCTCGTAAGTATAGTCCCAACTAGCATCATAATCTCAAAAGTGACTTCTAAGAGTCCATCAAACTGCAGCAGACAAGATGAGGCCAGTCTAATGAAATGAAAGAAGACAAAGCTGAAGACAACAAGAAACTGAGATGAGAGTTTGGTTGTGTTTAGCAATAATAGGAGACAGCTCTAATGCAAACCAGTTTTGGAGCTTTTTCAGAAGGAAGAAAAATAGGAATTTATCCTGTGTTTATTCTCATTCAATTTGTAGTCAATTTTTAATTTTAAGTTTCAATTATTCTTAATATGCACAATTCGGACATAATTTATTGTCTTTGCATCATCATTTTAAATTCTTTTGATTGTAAGAATCATCAACCTCCATGAAAGGTAAGAATTGAATTCTTATCATCAAGGAATTCAAGGTGGCGTGAGGATTGATCATAATATTTTGAAAGGTTCAGGTGTGTTCAACAAATGGTAAATTGTAAGAATGGTCAGTTATTCTATTTTTAAAAAGACACGCTAAACAATTATGGAATAGTTATGAAAGAAACTTTGATCATTTTCCTTTCTCCTTTTCCTCATTTCGAGCGTGAAAAAGGTTGAATTTTTAAAGAGAAGAGGAATGATTGATATCCATTTGCTTTTCTTTGTCATCATTTCTATTTCTTTACCCAAACAAGTAAAAAAGTAGCGAATCCCTAGCTTTCCTTTCCTTTTCCTGGTTCCACTCACTTCGTACATGGCATTAGGTTAGGTCTATAAGATGAAACTAAGAAAATAAATTACAGATATATATAGTGCCTAACAACATTTAATCTTCAATGTAGTAAGTATTTCTGTCAACAAAGCATACTAATATTAAGCACAAGTTTACCTCTAACTGCCTCAGTGTATCTAGCAAATTTGAACGTTCTTCACATAGAACTTTAAGCTGCCCATGTATTACAGAGAATTCAGAGAGCATGATCTGTTCGCAATCCTTTACAAGGTTCTCGCCAATTCCCTCCTCGATTAAGCGCTTCTTTAGCCTCTCAGTTGATATAGATAAATTATTTGGCAGAAGTGAGAGATTATCATTCAGCGATCTTAAAGGGAAGAGGCTTCTAGTTGAGACCAAAGCTTGAATCCAAGCTGCTCTATCTCTCCTAGAGTCGGTTCTTAGATGAAGAGTCTTTGTTGCAGTAAATATATAAAACTTCCTATCGTCAGATTTGCTTTCGCGGAAAGATGAGATCTGCTGAAACAACGAGAAGAAATAACATATACACAATTATATACAGCAAGAAGCCTATAATTTTATTATTATGAAAAACAATTTACTCAATATATCCTTATTGCAAAAAATAAACTCAGACATCGTGCAGTCCTTTGCAAGTAGTTTTGTTTAACAGCTAGCAAATTATATGATCACGGCATGCTAAAACCCTCACCAGTATGTGGCGTTGCTAATGTCCAGTTAGACCTCGAAAGAGAGAGAGAGAGAGAGAGAGAGAGAGAGAGAGAGAGAGCTGTTAGTTTAAGCTCCCCAGTAACTCAACAGTTGTCTAGCCATATATTAAGACCGGTACAACATTCCAGTCGTCCAAACTCAATCCCAAAAACCCAGTAAAGTCAAAAAGAAACGAAATGAAAAAACCAAGAAATTAGATCCGGAAATGAACAAAGAATATTCTGAGAAGATGAACATCGCTTCCCGTCTTAAAGGAAGTCATAATATAAACCCAATCTTGTAATGGATAAGGCCCCAACCAGCTAGGCCATTGGCTTCAAATCCCCACACTACAATTTTGTTTTTGTTTACTTCACTTAAAAATGAAGCCCATGCCTCCAAAACCGCCAGACCAAGTCACTTAAAAATGGAACCAAATAACTCGAAGACTACAAACGGCAAGAAACAAAAGAGGAGACCCACTGTGAAATCTTTAGAGAACTGCACTGTTTGCGTCGTTTCCTTCATTTTGGGAGGGGGAAAAAAAAGATGTCATCCTTTCTCCCACAAACACAATTTGATGAAAAGTTTACCACTACCAGTCTAACAATAAAAAAAAAAATTAAAAAAAAAATTAATACAATGATTACTTGCTTAAGAGCAAAAAAGTATTATTTTATGAAGTCAAGCTCAATCACAAAGAAACTAAAGTACAGAGACAAGCAAAACAACAAAGTTTGACGAATTAAAACTGGATTCAGATTAAACGCGAAAGCAAAAACGACGTAAAAATCAAAGGAAAGAAAAAAAAGTATGTATATATATATATGTATATATGTATATATCATTTGATAGCTCGAATCGCCAAATCCGTCCATCCATCCATCCATCCATCCAATACCGATCAAGCGATGATGTGACTACAGTATTAATACCTAGACCTACAACATACCCTATAATAGCCCAAAGACCCACCTGCTGATGTGACCCACTCCGCATTAACAACCAGTTAAAAACTGTAAAAAAAAAAAAAAAAAAAAAAAGAGCTTAAACGTGAAAGAAGAAATTTCAAAAAAAATTTCAAAATTAAAAAAAAAAAATTTACGGGTTCTTTTACGTTTCACAGAGTTAAACGACGTATAATGTTTGAAACCTACGGTTCTTGCTTTTTCTTGGCTCAAATATCAAAGCATTTTCGTTTTCCATGTGAATCAGAGGTGGGAATAGTAACTAGCAATGACGCAATTGGTAAAACTCAATTGAATTTTTTTGAATCAAATGCTTACCTATTACTGGAAACATTCGTAGCGCCAAAATAGGTTGCAGAAGTTCAACCCAAATGTCGCTGATTCTAATTTTCAGCTTAATAGTACCGGATCTCATGCTATCAAACAGCATATTTGTTCTCACTTTTGCTTAAATTATTGATTATTCCGGCTTCCCTTTTATATATTGTTAAAATATACCTTTAGATGAACAATGCCGACGGTTTTCTGCTGCTTCCGTCTACCGCTGCAACTATCCATCCGCGAGAGCCTATTTGTGGACACATCTCCGATCAACCTGACGTCATCGGACGGCGGGAGAAGATTCAAACTCTCTGGGCGGCGAATCTTCGAGTACGACAAGATTCCGTTTCTTAGAAGGAACCACCTCGATCTCCAGCCCTTGCCGTAATTGGTCCACTTGTAGAGAACCCCGGCCACGGTGGCCTCAGATCCCGCAGTCGCCCTGCCACCATTTCCAGCGTCAGATCCAGCAAAGGCGGTGGCTGGCAAGCTCCTCGCCCTCGTCAGTGCCCAGGGAGCAGTCTCCGGCGACTGGTCCCCGATACCGTTGGGACTCTCCAAGGAAATACAACACAGAGGATGCAATTCCTTGACCCGCATTTTATACCAACCGACCCGATCTCAATAACGAGGGGAAAAACAGTCAGTTTCCCATCAGATACCAAGTCTGCAAAGAAATCAAGAAAAAGAGAAGAAAATTGAAAGAACAAACACGTTAAAGGAAAATGCGGTTAGGGTTAATGAGGAAGTAGAAAGGGGGGTTTCCTCGAGGAAGGAGACGAACCTGAGCTCTGAAACTGAGAGATTGAGAAGAGAGAAATTGGATTATTACTAAAATAAGGAGCGTTGTGTTTATACCTTTTAGCTTCAATTGATGGCAAAGTATAAAATATTAAGCTCCAAGTGAAAAAAGAGTTTGTATTTGCGTGATTATATACATATATATGCAGCTGTGAAGAGGAGGAGAAGTTGGAGGTGGTGATGCAGGAGGTCATAAAGAGGGTGGCAAAAGGGTAATTAAGTGAGTTCAGGGCTAGTAGTCGTAGACAAGGTTTTTTTTTTTTTTTTTTGCCTCTTTTTAATCTTCAATTAACTGGTTGTGCTGTGTCATGTGCGTGGGAGGGAGGGGAGGGAGGGAAGGAGAGAATTTAGCGTGAGATATTTATTATTCGTGGGAAATTCAGGCGATATATTAGGCTGGGATTTATCGGTAGGAAATCTTGACAGAGAGGACTGTGGCAGTTGATGATGTGTGGGAACTGAGACGGTCTTTTAATGGCATTTACTGCGTAATCATGAAATTTTATCTGCCACGTTAAAAATTATTTCTCTCTTCTCTTTTCTTTTATATATTTACTGGAGGAGTAAAAAACAAAATAGCAAGTAAGCATTTCGTGTGCCTAAATTAATGGAAGCACTTTGGGTTTAAGCAGATCCATAATTAGTGGTGAATGTGATATTTAATATTTTAGAATTCAAAATAAACCAAACTGGGTAATTATAAAATTACGATCTCCATAATAATTCAAGTAATTATAGAATTAATGCTTTTCTTTTTGAATTCTAATGATTAGATCAAAAATAAAATTAGATTTGTTATGTTTCTAGAAATGAAGACATTTGAGGTCTTTTCCATTTTTTGGTGACTAAGACTTTGACTTTAGTTTCTTATTTTAAAAGTAAAAATACCCTCAATTTCGGTAATCATTACTTACCTCCATCTACTTATGTTATTGTTAGATTTGGCTAACAAAAATTAAAGCGGTCGATTACCATATTCTAAAGTTTAATATATATATATATATATATATATATCGATGGTAAAAAGTACATGTTTGCTGAGGAGAATAGATGGTAAAAAAAAAAAAAAAATTTGAACAGAGCTACGCATGGGAAAATGGGGAGCGTGAATCGGCGGAGCGGAGCGGAGCGGGGCCGCTGTTGGTGCTTAGCCCCATGTTCTGACGCCTTATATTAAATACTTTTAACTTATTTATTTTTAATACTATATTTTACATCCCATTTTTATTGTCTTAATAAATTATGATAATCAAATTAATTTATTATTTTAGTTTTCAATTTCTGCTTCACATTTTATTTTAGTTTTATAGTATGTTTATTACCAAAAAAAAACAATTAATTTCTTAAAAAACTTTTTAACTGAAGAAAACAAAAACAAATTTGTATTTTGTAGTTTATGGTTAAACACAATTAACTTAAAATTAATGCAAAGCAATCAGAATTAGACATCAATAGGAACAAAATAGTTATTTGAACCGAGAAAATAAAGCTTAGCATTTTGTTTAGTTTCTTGCAATCCTTTCTTCAACTTGTAATTGGAAATTATGTAGCCTTTTCTTCAATTGCTTGTCATGTATGTTCGTTTAATCTTTTTCAAGTTATGGGTAAGGGAAAAAATGTTCGTGCATTGATTTTCATTTTGTTTTGACTTTAAATTCATTTTAAATGTTCATTTATACTATTCTCATTTTTTAAGTTTATGTCCTAACTTCATATATGATATTCACAATAATATTTTATTTGTTTCAATAACAAACATAATCATGATGATTTAGATAAATAATAATAATAATAATTTTAATGGTTAAGGTTGTTTAAGCAAGATAATGATAAGGTTTTTGCCGATTATGTTTAGAGAAGAAAGATATTTTGATTTTTTTTTTTAAATCTTAATTTTAATTTTTTTTTTTTTACTCTAATCATGAATTACAAATTTTATTTTTTTTTAAAATAATCCTTCCTCAAGTTAAATTGTCTTTTTAAAAAAATAAACTATCACCGGATAGTATTCGTTAAAACCATTTGATCAATATTTGTAGAATGTGTAACACTACGTGTACAAATAAATTAAAACTTAAGAAAAAATAAAAAATATATAATTATAAAAACAGCAAAATTTTCAAAATATGAAATTAATTAAGTTAGGGACTAAATTGAACAAAATAAAATTTAACTAGGTCTTTTTCTAAATTTAAAAATTGATTCAGGAGCTTAAATAAGAAAATTTAAATTTGGGGTCATTCTATGATTTCTGGAAAATGTGCCCCCACAACTAGTGACATGGCTGCAAGCTAATTGCGAAGGGCTGCGTGGTGGCTAACCTGCACATATGGTCAACCACACGGGCACCCACGATAGTCAGATCCGAAGGTCTTGTGTGTTTGGGGTTGATTAAACTATAATGAGCACAATGAAGGGATCCAACAATATGCAAGCATACATAGGGTAACAATCTCTATCTAACAGCTCACATGTGAGATGCCAATCAGACGACCAATATTCATTCTAAGTCAATCTAACAATCACTCGCACGAACGGTCCTGATCAACGGAGATCGTGATCTAACAGTTGAAAATTGCGCTCGACAAAATTAATGAACCCCAATTGCACAGTCTGCATACTATCACATACGCACAATCGTGCAGTTTGGATTCAAACTGGTAGGAAAGTATTTAAACCCCCACTCCTTGCTTGATCGGCCTAGCAGTCAGAGAAAAAAAATGAAAAAAAAGAAAGAAAGAAGAGAAGGGCGACCGAGAACCACCACCTGTGGCAGAGACAAGAGAGAAAAAAAGGGCAGATCGTGCTAGAAAGAGAAAATTCGTGAAGAAATAGGCGATTTGCAGTCAATTAATGCTGAAAATCTCAAAATTCAGTTAGGTTTTTTGGCGACACGACTCCTTCAGGCATGATCGAGCTGGGAACTTTGTGAGTAATTTTTTAGAATTTTTTTTCGTTTTTAAATTGAATAAAATACTCTAAAGATGATTTGCATATAATAGAATAACTTTAAAGTTCAAATCAGTTGTCTCCCATCAATCACTTATTCATACTTAAATCAATCATACCAAAATACAGAAAGAAATTTGGGGGCCTTTCAAGCTATTATATTGTTTTCTATCACTGTATTGTGACAGTATTATTTGAATATAACTATATTGAGAAATGACTTCTACCATATATATACCATCATAACCAACAAATTGGGAGTTAATGTACTCTATTTTTTGTCCTAATCGGAACATCATGGCGGCCTCCCATTACCCATTTATGTAGTTAAGGGAGACTTACAAATGGTTTTCTGTTTTGATTGGAAGAAGAGTTGGATGTCTTTCATGTTTTTTCCTAAATACCACCAATGTAAATATTTTATTCTTCCTACATCAA